GATATTTTGCTCTTCAGCCTTTGGGCTTTGATTGTGTTGGCCAATAGTTTAACAGCTTTGTTGTTATTAGCATAGAAATTAAGTTTAAGCCTATAGAAATATAAGTCGTGTTGTGTACACAACAACTCTCTGAGTTCTGTACGGAGTTTGGACAGTTTTGATGTGCTGTGGGAGGAGGTAGAGGATTGATTAATTTGGTCGAGAGTATGAATTTCTAGTAGGAGAGTTTTATGTTTGGTCTCATGTTGCTTTTTCAGACGGAAACACAGTTGTATTAGAATGCCCCTGATATAAGCTTTGTGGGCATTCCACAGTACTAAGGGCCCTATATTTGATTGGTTACTGTAGTGAAAGAACTCTTTAAGGTGTTGTGTAATTTCCTTTTGTGTGGTCAGGATTTATATGACAGAGATATTATAATGCCACAATCTAACTGGGGCACTAGCATCTGCTTCTTCTACTGTTAAGGTAATACTCGCATGGTCAGACCACTTGATGTCTTGAATGGAGGAAGCAGATCCCTCCTGGTGCAACAATTTGTCTACAATAAATAAGTCTATGCGGGAGTGTGAATTGTGAAAAGGAGAGTAGAAAGTAGCAGTTTTTTAATTGGCATGGAGACAACGCCAAACATTGTACACATCCTCTTTGTGTAGGAGACCATTTAATGTCAAACTCTGGCCTCATGTCTTGGAGGAGGTATCGAGGTTGGGGTCTATAATCATGTTAAAATCCCCACATACCACCAAGTTCCCATATCCCACCTTCCAGATCTTGGCAAAACATCTGTGAATAAATCGCAATTGATATGAGTTGGGAACATATATTGTTGCTAGTGTGTAAGGTCTATTGTTGATAGTACAAAGCAAAATAATAAACTATCCTTCAGAGTCAAGAATTGAGTCTTTAAGGACAAAGAATACTGAGTCTTTTATCGCTAACAGCACTCTGTGTTTTTTAACCAGAAAAGAAGCTAGGAAAATATGAGGAAAGTAGGAGAATAGCTTAAGTTCCATAAAAAAAAGTCCTAACGGTTTGATGGTAAACCTGGGTATTGAACCATTGGGAAGATGAGGTGCACCAGAAGTCGGAAAAGTTTGTAGGTAGACGTGTTGAGTCATAGGGCTGTGTACTTGCTGTTACCAAATACCAGATTAGAAAGTCCCATAGAAGAAGGGAAAATTGTGCTGAGCTCAAATAGAGATGATACATTGTGTTTCGACCTAGATTACATCTTGAGTAGATAGAGTTAATATGAGCAAACAGGAGTAAGGCACAGCAAGTGTGTTGGCGCTGGAGAACAGAGGTTACAACAAAGCATGAAGTAAAAACTATAAAAACCTGTGCCACTAGGGACCTAGGTAGAACATGCTACCAAACAGGGTGGGGGTTTGGATACGGTTTCAGGTATCCATGCTCTCCTAGGCAAAAAATGGGAGATGTAGTAAAAATGCTTCTTTGAGCCTCATGTTTTCCTCGCTGAAGCTTTTCTATGATGTACCACCTGCCAGTCAGGAGTTATGTGCTGAGAGGGAGAGCAGGATGTGGTGGAGTAACCATCTTCTGTATATGGGACGATGTCCCATATTTTTTAGGAGTCGCAGGCCTTTGTCCACTGAAGTGACAATGTGGGTGGAACCTTTGTGGGTTATATTGAGTCTCACTGGGTATTTTCAACGATATACAGTATGATTTTATGATTTCTTAAAGCTTAAGTGATGGAATCAAGGTTCCTGCGCTGCTGCAGAGTATATTGAGAGAAATCTGGGAGGACTTGTAGAGAGACCACTTGAGCTGGAATATTTTCAGATGCAAAGGAATTAATAATGCAAAGTGGCCCTGACTTTTTTCAAACTTAAGAATTGCATTACACTATAAAACTGAACCAACTGTGACAATTATAAATTTAAAATATAATCACAAATTTACTTATATCTGAATTATCAAACAAATTTGAAAATGTAATTCCTTTTTTCATGGGCCATAACTACTATCACATCATGTGACGTTATCCGAATGTAACAAATGCATTAGTTAATTTCATTATAACAATTTTCCAGATTTATTGACATTCGTTACTATGTCAATTCAGAGATTCATAAACATCCAAATCTTCAAAAATCAGATTTTCATCGGAAAAATATTTTTACTAAACAAAATTTTTTTAGTACCTGCAACACTAATCGTTGTGTTCTGCTGGCAGGGAAGGCTCTCTTATTGTGTTGATGGGGGAACAAGCAATTTTCTTTCCTTACTACGTTAGTGTGATCTGTAAGTTGTAGATATAATAATAAATAAAATAATTATGAATGTGGAGTACCTAGAATATTTGGCACACATATATATTTTAACTTTCAATAGCATTCAAAAATGTCAAATTAAAAATAAAACAATGACCAGAAAAAAAAACACAGAAAGCAAAAAAATTTGTTTTTTTACAGTGGTGTCAGTGGAAAAATGTCCCTTTACATTGTTAATCAATGTAGTGTCCTACAAGGCCTCCTTGTGTTTGAAGCAAGTGGAGAAGTTTCGGCTTGCTCTCATTGAAAAAAACCCAAGGCCTATGGACTTTAGAGGTGCTGGAAGGAAAAACAGAATAAAATAGTATTTAGTCCAAGTTTTATTGGCATATATAGTAATTGACCATTAAAAACATATAGAGTATATAACTTCTATATCTGACCCCATCTCAGATTAAATATGACATATAGGGTATCAATTCTCCCAGTGCAGATGGGGAGTCCTATAAGTACTTTTTATGCCTCTATGCATTTCATGTGAAAACCTTGCTTCTTCATGAGGACTTCCAGGGAAACAAAATCTAAACCGTTATGCAAAAAAAAAAACATGCTCAGTACAATTGTTTAGTACGTCCAATTATCAGCATGCACCAAATTACATATACTGTACATTTACAGCATTCCATGGTTTTCTCACTAGGGTCAGGATCAAATCCACCATTGACCCAAGTCAAGGGGGATCCCTCTCCACTACCAAGCCCTCACAGGAGCAACTGCAGAGGAGAAACAGAGAAACCAGGAATGAGGCACTGTCACTGTCACCAATATAGCAGTGCAATTAAATCTTAATTGGAAATAATTATGTTTCTCAATTTACATTGGAATATTTGGTGGGTGGAGTCTAGTAGGGGACCAAAAAGAGGCACATTCCCAATCCATACATCCTTTCCACTAAATTACTAAGTTGGCAGGCTCTGTATTGCTAAGGAATGGAATCTTATGTTGATTACTTAGTCTCTGCTGTACAGATGACAACTGACAGAGAAAGGAAGTATAATATAACATAGTGGACACTATACAAAAATTAAAAAAAAACAGGTAAGTAATACACAGGCCTTACCAAAAGAGCAAAATTCCACTAGGTTAATGAGAACTTTTAACAGTTCAGCCACAATTCATGGATCATTTTTCATTTATAATTTTAATATTGCCAATGTCATCCCATCCAAATATTTAAAACAAATTGCAAATTCAATTGACATCCATAGCCCCCCTCCCCACACACATACACACACCACCAGACAACAGCCGCCCAATCCACACCACTTTCACAACAAGCACCTCCTTATACGCAACGCCGCTCAATGCACACCCAACCCACACCCTACCATAATATCAATCATGAACTTTATCTGCCAAATCACACCATTCAGCCACCACCTGCCGTAGCCCCCCGAGTCAAAGTCCACAACTTTGCACACAGAGAAGATAATTTTTCAGATAGAGCTGAATGGCTAATATGGCTAATCTTAGTGAATCACAAATTGTATATTCTTCAGAAATGTGCAGATTTGTTTAACTGGTAAAAAAGTATGCAGTTCAGGTGCGCAAACAATGCATAAATGCAAATGTGTGACCTACTGCAAATCAGACAAATGTGCTTGCATGTATTCAAATGAAGTTTAAATCGATCTTTGTTTGTGACCTTTTAATGGTTTGCAGCAAACTTTTTGCTTCATTTTCAGTTATGCATATGCCCTGGAGCTTTCAAATGTCTTTGTCAGTAGCCAATCAGTTTAAATTGTTATAATTTCTATCCCCTTGTATATAAGCATAACAAGGCACAGGTGCTGTCATTATGGAGCTAGCGAAATCTATCAGGCTGGGTAGAGGCACATCACTGCCATTCCTGAAACCTTTTATTTCCACTCTTTTTTACAGCAGTTTTATACCACTCACAGCAGAAGAAAAGGGTTTACTGGGCTAGTAAGTACCACACTGACTGCTTTTATGTACTAGGCCAGGGGTCTGCAACCTTTAAGACATAAAGAGCCACTTGGACCCGTTTCCGAGAGGGAAAAAAAGACTGGCAGCCGCAAAAACCATTGCAACATTTAAAACAAATCCGACACTGCATATATTGCAAAAAGCGCTCTGGTCATGAAGGGGGTTTAAGGGCCCAGTAAGAAAAGGGTTAATCAGGGCCACAGTGTATCGTCATAATCACAATCATAGCCTTAGGTCAGTGGTGGGCAACCTTTTTTTTCAACTGAGCCAAATCTCGCCAAAACCACGAGAGCCACATTTTTAAAACTGAAAATACATCCCCCATATAGTAATTCATCCCCCATAGTATATTCATCCCCCATAGTAATTCATCCCCCACATATAGTAATTCATCCCCCATAGTAATTCATCCCCCATATAGTAATTCATCCCCCATAGTAATTCATCCCCCATATAGTAGTAATTCATCCCCCCATATAGTAATTCATCATCCCCATAGTAATTCATCCCCATATAGTAATTCATCCCCCACATAGTAATTAATCCCCCATAGTAATTCATCCCCCATAGTAATTCATCCCCCATAGTAATTCCCATATAGTAATTCATTCCCCCCATATAGTAATTCATCCCCCATCCCCCCATAGTAATTCATATAGTAATTCATTCATCCCCATATAGTAATTCATCCCCCCTAAGTAATTCACTTAGTACCTTCCCCATATTGTGTCTTCACTTACCTTTGCTCCGCGTTTCTCTCGCCGTGTTCCCGCGCCGTTCCGGTCTTCAGGGCGGACTGTGAGAGGAGAGGAGTTCGTCACGCTGCCCCGCCTACATCCTGACAGCCAATGTTTGCCATGCTCCACGGGCCGGATTAAAAGGTCCGCCGGGCCGTAGTTTGCCCATTGCTGGGCTAGCTGCAGAGTCCTGACTTTTGGGGCGGCCGCCCGAGAGGAGGGAGGGGAGCGGGCGCTCGGCACACAGAAGAGCCGCAGCAAAGGTGAAAAAGAGCCGCGTGTGGCTCTGGAGCCGCGAGTTGCCGACACCCGTACTAGGCAGAGATAGTACTAAGGTCACTAGCAATAGGTACACTGCAAAAAAGTAATACAGTGATTAAGTGTTTAAATTGTATTGTGCACTTTGGATATCATATATGATTTTCATTTCACTGTTTTTGGTGTTGTGAATTATGACATACTAACGGTGATGTTTTAACATCTGCTTGCCAGCAAATGTCAATATCTGAGAAGCAGTAGCGTGTTTTGAACGAGCTGTACTATTCAATAAACAATTGTAACGCAGATATTGTTCTTTCATTTTTCACACTCCATTATTAAATATCAGTCAATATTAAGTTTAATGTTCATTACTCTCAGTATTGAAATGTATTTGCCGGCAAGCATCAGTGTATGAAAAGCAATGTCTGTTTTATATGTAGTACTGTTGCTTTCTGGAAATTGTGTTAACACAAATATCTTTCCTCTATTTTCACACTCCACTAAACCCCAAAAATGAAGTACGATTTTACTGCGAATATTTAAAAAATGTATAAGCTAAATATGCACACCCCCTTAGCGACTGCTGTTTTAAATATTCTGAAAAATACTGATTAATCTTTGTATTGTTTTTGCTTTTGGCATGTTCACCAATAAGTACCTACACATATAAATGAACAATACTTAGGTGTTTTCATAATTGGATGTATTCAGATATTTAGGAAAGGAAGGAGGAAGAGGAAAGGGAAGGGGCTTTGAAATTGTTACTTCACCTTGGTAATGAGGCTTAATTCCCCCCCCCCCCAACATTCGCTCCCCACAAACACACCAGGTGTGCTGCATCCTGAACATTAAACAGATATGACCATTGACTGGCCATGCTTTTGGTTCCTTAATATGAGGATAAACTGTGTCAATTTTTGTGTTCTCACTAAAATAATATAAGGTACGATCATGCCGTGCTTAGCACCTTGGATGTTACAACTTCTGGTAAACAGTTTTTGCGTCTGAATATTAGGCTCCTCTCCTGCTGCATCATTGGATTTGAGGTCCTGCCAAGACTAATAAAAATTATACTCCCCATCCTTCTGCTCTCAGATAACCCAAATCACATTCACTCTCCACAATACTAGTGAGTGAGTTGGCCTTCTATGACCACCGCCATCTCCAATACAATGTCCAGTGACTTCCATGTAGCCATTACCAATGCACCCACATGCCAAAGGCTTTAACTATATTTACAAACACACAAACACATACACACACATACTGTGTGTGTATACAGTGGGGATCGAAAGTTTGGGCACCCCAGCTAAAAATTTGTATTAATGTGCATAAAGATGGAAAAATCTCCAAAAGGCATCAAATTACAGATTAGACATTCTTATAATATGTCAACAAAAGTTAGATTTTGTTTCCATCATTTACACTTTCAAAATAACAGAAAACAAAAAAATGCGTCTGCAAAAGTTTGGGCACCCTGCAGAGTTAATATCTTGTACTGCCCCCTTTGGCAAGTATCACAGCTTGTAAACGCTTTTTGTAGCCAGCCAAGAGTCTTTCAATTCTTGTTTGAGGTATCTTTGCCCATTCTTCCTTACAAAAGTCTTCCAGTTCTTTGAGATTTCTGGGCTGTCTGTCACGCACTGCTCTTTTAAGGTCTATCCATAGATTTTCAATTATGTTGAGGTGAGGAATTGTGAACCTTCAGTTTACGCCTCTTGATGTAATCTCCCCGTGGATTTCGAGGTGTGTTTAAGGATCATTATCCATTTGTAGAAGCCATCCTCTCTTTAACTTCAGCTTTTTTACAGATGGCATCAAGTTACCATCCAAAATTTGCTGAAATTTTATTGAATCCATTTTTCCTTCTACTCGTGAGATGTACCCTGTGCCACTGGCTGCAACACAACCCCAAAGCATGATTGATCCAACCCCATGCTTAACAGTTGGACAGAGGTTCTTTTCATTAAATTCTGTGCCCCTTCTTCTCCAAACGTACCTTTGCTCATTCCGGCCAAAAGGTTAAATTTTAACCTCATCGGTCCACAGAACTTGTTTCCAAAATGCATCAGGCTTGTCTATATGTTCATTTGCAAAGTTCAAACGATGATTTTTGTGGTGAGGACGTAGAAGAGGTTTTCGTTCTGATGACTCTTCCATGAAGACCATATTTGTACAAGTATCTCTTTATAGTGGAATAGTGTACCACAACTCCAGTGTCTGCCAGATCTTTCTGGAGGGATCGTGCAGTCAAACGTGGGTTTTGAATTGTTTTTCTCACAATCCTGCGAGCTGTTCTGTCTGATATTTTTCTTGGTCTTCCAGATCTTGCTGTAACTTCCACTGTTCCTGATGACTGCCATTTCTTAATTACATTCCGAACAGAGGATATTGACATCTGAAAACGCTTTGCTATCTTCTTATAGCCTTCTCCAGCTTTGTGAACGTCAACTATTTTCAGTTTCAGTTTTCTAGACAACTGCTTAGAAGAACCCATGGTGCTGATTGTTGGGGCAAGGTCAGATGAGTCTGGGCATTTAAAACCTTTGAGATTGACATCACCTGGTCTTCCCAGACGATGATTGAGAACAATCCATGACACTGGCAGGTCTCAGCTTGGCAAAGGGGGCAGTGCATGCTATAAAATTCTGCAGGGTGCCCAAACTTTTGCAGACGCCATTTTTTTTTTTTCTGTTATTTTGAAAGTGTAAATGATGGAAATAAAATCTAACTTTTGTTGACATATTATAAGAATGTCTAATCTGTAATTTGATGCCTTTTGGAGATTTTTCCATCTTTCCTTGGCTTCTTTATGCACATTAATACAAATTTTTAGCTGGGGTGCCCAAACTTTCGATCCCCACTGTGTATGTATATATATATATATATATATATATATATATATATATATATGTATGTATGTATATATATATATATATATATATATATATATATACACCGGTGAGTGAGATACAGACTCCATTCTTAGGTCTACATCTTATCTAGTAACCAGACCTACTAATTTTCTTCTCCATAAAGCTCCTAGTAATGGAACTGGAAGAAATTCTCCTGTGCATTAAAATGATATATTTGAAGTGATTACAAATATTCTGATAACATGAACATATGAGGGAGATTTAATAAAACACTCAGCACTCAGACAGGCACAGGCGGGCAACATTGTGAACAGTCTGTATGTGTCATCTAGTTTTTTTTCAGGTTCTTCAGGGTTCATGGTAAAGCAAATATAATACTTTTTATTAAATTCTGTTCTGGGTCCTGGAGCCTGAAAGTTTTTAAAAAGAACTTCGGGTGGGATAAAGCCTCCATTCCTAGTTCCAAATCTTACCTGGTATCCCAGGTATTATTGGTCTCAGCTGTCCACAGGCGTTGGTAAAAATGAGCTGAAACTTAGGGCTCACTTACACTCTTTCTGCTGTGTGAGCCTGCTGCTGGGTGACTGCTAACAAAACACAAAAAATGTAGAATCTCTGCCTGTTTGTTTTGAGGAACCAATTAGGAAGGTGCCTTCTTTGTTAGGAAATCACCTGTGTTTAGACAGTGTCTTGAACAAGCAGCTGTTTGGTTTGTTTAATGCTATGGATATGCTGCACAAAGCCCTCCTGCATTGCAACTGTGTTTGCTACTTTGCTCAATAAAAGTGCAGGACAAACCTGCTTGATCTGTACCTTGGTGCCCCTGTCTCCTGCATGGTTTATTGTTACCACTACCATTTGAACGTACCCCCTTTACAATATATATATATATATATATATAAGTGCATTATACATTATATCCTTTTATGTCAGTCTATCCTCAATATGCTGTGGCTGCTACCAATTTTAAAAAATCTGTTTTCTTTCTCATTATCAACAGTTTTCCTGATGGTACAACAATCCGAAGAAGTATTTAGCCCAGGAAATATTTTATGTTTTGTTAGAGATTCTGTATATAACCTTAAAGTACAGACAGTGCACAATCCACATGTGTTTATCTGCTGCTTCTCTGCTAACAGAAAACAGGAAATTTTATTTTTGAGAAAAGACAGAGTTTAACCATAGATGCAGCTACAAACTTATAAACACTACCATCTGCTGGTTGAGAAATATATCTCTACTGAATACTGATATTGATGTAGTTGTCATTCATAAATACATGAACACTGTATTCCAGCATGTTTCCTTTATTCTTTTTCCAACTGATTTCTCAGGCCCATTACAATATTAACTACTTGCCCTCCAGAGGATTTACCCCCTTCACAACCAGGCCATTTTTTGCGATACTGTGCTGCGTTACTTTAACTGACGATTGTGCGGTGATGCAACAAATGAAATTTATGTTCTTTTTTTCCTACAAATAGAGCTTTCTTTTGGTGGTATTTGATCGCCTCTGCGGTTTATATTTTTTGCGCTATAAACAAAAAAACCCCGACAATTTGAGAAAATAATATTTTTGACTGTTTTCTATAAAACATATCCAGTAAAAAAAATTTACAAAATGAAATTTTATCATAAATTTAGGCCAAAATGTATTCTGGTACATGTCTTTGCTAAAAAAAATCCCAATTCGTGTAAATTAATTGGTTTACATGAAAGTTATATCGTCTACAAATGGCAGTATATATACTGGAATTTTTTTTTTATACTAGTAACGGCAGCAATCAGCAACTTATAGTGGGAGTGCGGGACTGCGGCGGGTATTCTGACACTGGGGGGGGTAACTGACTAACTGTTACTGACATACCCAGTGACACTAATACAGTGATCAGTGCTAATAAAAAGCACTGACACTGTACTAATGACACTGGGCAGGAAGGGGTTAACATCTGGGGTGATCAAAGGGTTAACTGTGTGCTGTTTTACTGTGTGCTGTGTGTGTGTTTTACTGTATAAGCACATTGCTTTGTATTGCTCTGTTATGCAGAACAAAACAATTTAGTGTGCAGGAGCTGACAGGGGAGAGATCTGTATTGTTTACATACAGACCTCTCCCCCGTCAGTGTTACTCGGCAATCGCCGGATGCCAGCGGGGAATCACTGGCCGGGACCCGGTGATCGACAG